TATGGGAAATGGCGGGGAAGACAAAAACCCAGAAAATGTCAGAGGTGAAGGGGTGAGATCGAAGTGGAACGGAGAGCCCCCCTACCGGGAAATCGATTTCGGTTTCGTGTTCGTGCCGTGCGGCCGAGGCGAAGCTGCGTGGGCGGGCGAGAGAAAGTCTCCTGTGGCTGAGGCGCGGCCGGACCAAGTGTCTCCGTTCCGGGCGGCCGGGGACCCGCGGTGTCCCGCCGGTGTCCCGCTGGTGTCCCGTGTGGCTGAGGCGCGGCCGGACCAAATGTCTCCCTTCTGGGCGGCTTGGGGCCCGCGGTGTCCCGCCGGTGTCCCGCTGGTGTCCCGTGTGGCTGAGGCGCGGCCGGACCAAATGATTCCCTTCCGGGCGGCCGGGGCCCCGCGGTGTCCCGCCGGTGTCCCGCCGGTGTCCCGCCGGTGTCCCGTCGGTGTCCCGATGATGATGATGATGATGATGATGATGATGATGATGATGATGATGATGATGATGATGATGATGATGATGATGGTGAGTTCGGTAGTGAGATCGATAGTGGGACCGAATGTGAGATGGATTGTGAGATCGTTTAAGATGTCGATAGTGAGATCGATAGTGAGACCGACTGTGAGATCGATAGTGAGACCGATTGTGATATCGATAGTGAGATCGATAGTGAGACCGAATGTGAGATCGATTGTGAGTATGATTGTGATATCGATAGTGAGACCGAACGAGAGATCGATAATGACTTCGATAGTGAGTTCGATAGTGAGATCGATAGTCGGATCGACTGTGAGATCGATTGTGAGATCGGTTGTGATATCGATAGTGAGATCGATAGTGAGACCGAATGTGGGATCGGTTGTGAGATCGATAGTGAGATCGATTGTGAGATCGATCGAATGAGACCGATAGTGATATCGATAGTGAGATTGTTAGTGAGACCGAATGTGAGATCGATTGTGAGACCGATTGTGATATCGATAGTGAGGTCGATAGTGAGACCGAATGCGAGATCGATTGTGAGATCTATAGTGAGATTGATTGTGAGATCGATAGCCAGATCGATTGTGAGATCGATCGAATGAGATCGATAATGAGATCGATAGTGAGATCGATAGTGAGATCGATCGAGTGCGACGGTGGTCCCTCCCCCCCCTCACCTCCTTATCACCCGAAGGGTGGTCTATGCGGTAGGAAAATATAAGGGAATATTTTCATTGGTGTGTATTTATGTGTGTGTCCCAGGGCCCCTTCAAATGTCGCATCGTCTCCGCTGCCGAAGCGCAATGCCGCAAACGTGCTGCCGGAGCACATTGCGCTGGCCGTGCGGCCCCCCAGCGATGCAAACGGGGTGCTCCACCTCCGTTAGGGCGTCAAGGGTGGCCATGAAGAATCCCGACGCGTCGCACTGATTATTGGGAACGGCAAATTCTGGCCTGCGAAACTACCCTGCGCTCGCGGCGACGGCCAACGGCCGGGCGGAGTCGACCCCCCCGCCCTGAACAGAGGGACGATCGGCCTGAGTCCAGAGTCGTTTTTGTGGGCAGTCCTGGAGCGGTTTTGTTCTAGATGTCAGATCTGTTGGCAGGTGCAGTCGGTGCAGATGAGTAGGTCGCACTTTTCGGGTCAAGGGCACGGTCAGACCGAGGCATAAGATCGAGGTCGCTTCGGGGAGTGTGCCCTAATGTTCTTCTTGTTTGTGGGGTGTTCTTGTGCATCCTGGAGGAGGGTGCCCTCGAATCTTCTTCAGTGTGGCCGGGGGAGTGTCTCATCTTCTCGAAGGGTGGTCTTCTGCCCTGGGTCCAGATCGGACCCTTCGCGTCCGGAGCATCTTCGTGCCCTCGCACCCCCCTTCCCTCCAGAGGAGTTTTGCATCCTCTCGGGATGGCCTCTCGTATGCGGCACACCTACCCCTCCCCCGCTGGAAGGAGGGAGGGAGGACGGAAGCGAGAGAGGAGGCAGCAGTCGGCGGCGAGCGAGGGGGGGAAGCGAGAAGGAAAAGGCCTCCTCAGAAGGCGGCGGGACTTCTCAGAAGGCCCCCTGCCTTCTGGGAAGCCTCCCGGAGGACTTCCGAGCCTCCGGAACAGGCCCGCCGCCTCTCCCTTCCCCCCCGGGGCTCGCCGCCGAAGCGGGCGATGAGCGCCTCTGGTGCACAGCTCGACGTCTGGGCACACTAGACCACTCGAGTGGGAGGAGGAGGAGGAGGAGGAGGAGGAGGAGGCGGAGGAGGAGGAGGAGGGGGAGGGGGAGGAGGAGGAGGAGGAGGAGGGGGAGGCGGAGGAGGAGGAGGACGAGCCTCACGCGTCGCGCCCCTGCGGCCCGGGGACCGGAGGCCTGCCCTTCTGCCGGGCGGCCGCGCGGGAGCGCGGAGCTCCCTGCGCGGGCTCTGCAAGGCCACACTGGCGGCCACCGGAGCGCGTGGGGCCTGCATGGCCACCGGCAGCCGCAGGAACGTGTGATTTTTGTTTTCGCTTGGCCACCGGCAACCACAAGTTGAGGGGCGAAGAACGGTATAACATAATTGGTTCGCCGTCGGGGACACCTGCCCCAGGGCGGCTGGAAAGTTTATACCCTTACGGTGGCACCGTAGGGGCATAGACTTTCCAGCCGCCCAGGGACAGGCGCCCCCGACAGCGAAAAAAATTATGTTATACCGTTCTCCGCCCGTTAAACAAGAGCGTGGGATGTTCCATGACTGCGCGTGGCACGGGGTCCCCTGAGCTGTCGACCCCTCCTCGAAGATTCAGTCTTCGTCCCAGTTCGTCTCTTGAGATGGCCCTGGAGCCCAGAGGAGGACGTTGGAGGTCCGGACTTTTGGCTCCTCATGTCCCCGTCTATTGCGGCTCGTGCTGGATTCACGGCACACTGTCCGCGCTAAACGACCGGATCAAGATCATGCGCAAGGCCGAGTGGCCAGACGTGCGGCTTGGGCGCCAGACGGTTATGGACTTCGGCCACGGGCAGAAGGGCTCTCTCCTCCGCCTCCTCCTCCTCCTCCTCCTCCTCCTCCTCCTCCTCCTCCTCCTCCTCCTCCTCCTCCTCCTCCACGTCCTCGAGCAGAGATGCTGCGTCTTTCGTTGCGCCCGGCAGCCTGAGTAATTTCTACACTACCTTTCCTGGGGGGTCGGCACGCGAACCATGCCATTGGGGCCTTCAGCGAAGCTCCCTGTGGGGCCGCGAATCGTGTGAAGGGTGTGCCAGTGTGGAGGGGGGGGGGGGGCGGCGGGGGGCATGCGAACCATGCCACGGCGGCCTTCGGTGGAACTCCCTATGGGGCCACGAAGCGTGTGAAGGGTGTGCCACAATGGAATGGGGGGGGTGGGCGTGCGAACCATGCCACTGTGGCCTTCGGTGGAGCTCCCTATGGGGCCACAAAGCGTGTAAGTGGCGTGCCACGGTGGAGGGGGGGCGGCATGCGAACCCTGCCACTGGGGCCTTCGGTGGAGCTCCCTATGGAGCCACGAAGCGTGGGGGGCGGCATGCGAACCATGCCTCTGGCGCCTTCGGTGGAGCTCCCTATGGGGCCACGAAGCGTGTGAGGGGTGTGCCACAGTGGAGGGGCATGCGGACCATGCCACTGGGGCCTTCGGTGGAGCTCCCTATGAAGCCACGAAACGTGTGAGGGGTGTGCCACAATGGAATGGGGGGGGTGGGCGTGCGAACCATGCCACTGGGGCCTTCGGTGGAGCTCCCTATGGGGCCGCGAAACGTGTGAGGAATGTGCCACAATGGAGGGGGGAAGGGCATGCGACCCATGCCACTGGGACATTCGGTGGGGCTTCCTGAGGGACCACGAAACGTGTGAGGGGTGTGCCAAAGCGAGGGTGGTGACAGGAGGAGGGAGGAGCGGGAGGAGGAGGAGGAGAAGAAGAGGAGGGGAAGAAGGAGATGCGAGGACTGTATCTTCAAGATGGGGGCCCTGCTACCGTCGCTCCCCTCCCCCCCGCCTCCTGCTCCTCCAACCTCCCCCATCATCTTCCTCCTCCGTCTGATCCTCCTCCCCCCGCATGCGCATTCCCGCGTGCGCGTGGGGGCAAGGGCAGGTGGACAAGCCTTCCAAGAGGCTCAGCCACCTGGGCAGAGCGCACCTTATTGCCCCCCTCGCCCGGGTCCTCGCCCTCCTCGCCCGGCTCCTCGCCCTCCTGGCCCTCGAGCCTCGCTCTCCTGGCCATGACCCTCGGCGGTGCGCCCAGAGCCCAGACCCCCCCCCCTGACGTCTTGAGCTCGGTTCGGTTCGGCGCTCCGCGAGTGTCCTCGGCAAGCGAGCAGCAGCCAGGCAGGGCCGCATGCCATGGCTGCGAAGCCAGCGCCCAGATCGGTCATGGGCCGCGCCCCTTCCGGTGTCCGAGGCGACTCCATTCTGGCGAGGAGGCCACCCCCGCAGGGTGGAGTTTCTTCGCCGTTTTCGGCGCCCTGGGGCCGATTTCGGGCCCAGGGATCCCCAGAGAAAGCTAGCGGACGGAACATGCCCCTCGGGAAGGGGCCGAGAGGTCCGGGGGCCACGACCTCGGCGGTCCACGGCAAGAGGCCCCGCCTCAGAGAGCGCGGGGCCGCTCGAGCTCTGAGAGTGCCGCACCCCTGGCGGAGGTCCCGGGGAGGGCTGCGGAGATCCTCGGAGGTGCCCAGAGGTCGGGGGCGGAAAAGGTGGGGGGGGGGTGATGATTAGGGGGGGGGGATATCATGGCGCGGGCCATGATTTTTCCTCAGATCTCAGGGCGCCTCCTCTTGATTTATTACGTCCCAGGCCCCCCCGCTGGGCCGCGCACATGCACCCCCCTCTTGGCCGCTCCCGACAGAGGCTTCTGTGGGCCTCTGGAGCCCCAGAACGTGTCGAAAACGTGCAGTGTGAGTGTAAGAAATGGTCCTGGATCTTTTCGAGCAGGGCGAGGGTCTCTGCTCACACATGGCTCCCCAGCTAGCATCGCCTCCTCCGCTCGCCCCCAAGGACTGCGTGCCAGGGAAGAACCTGAGCGAGCCCCCGCCGGGCTGCAACGGCGGCGACTCGTGGATGATCCACAAGTACCTCACGGAGCACAAGGTCGGAATAGGGGGAGCCGAATAGTGAGATGCTGCAGCCCAGACTCGGTAGGGAACCCCGTCCAGATGAAAGGGACAAGAGCGACGTATATGGAAAACATCTTGCGAGGCGGATCCTGATTCGATCGTATGTGGCAGGTCATGCTTGTAATCAGGTAGCCCTCGAAGGTGCCCGACGAGACGTGCATGCCCTATCAGGCCAAGAACATGGCATGCGACGCCTCCAACAACTGCAGGAACTGCCTTCCGGACGGGAGCGAGACGGGCAAGTGCTGGCCGATCAAACACTACACAGGCTATGGCGTCAAAACGTATGGCAACGTGTCCGGCGAGAAAGCCATGATGAAGGAGACATGTGTACAGCTTCGGCTGCCTTCTTGCACCATCCATCCTCGTTATACAACCGATCATCGTTCAAGAAGCGTCCTCCCGGAAAGTTGGGCCAGCGTTTCTCGGCCAACATGCCAGTTTCTTGAGCACGTTAGCCCTTCTCCGGCGTTGACAACAGAAATGTGCCCAGGCTTGCTTCAAGACTTGCTTCAAGACATTTCCTGGAAGCTGGCCCGGATGTCTCGAATGATGCATTGCCTGATCATTTGTTCGGTTGTCTTTCTTCTCATCCTCCCCCCCCCTCCCCCTGGAGAAACGGATGCGAAGGAGATCTATGCCCGCGGGCCCATCGCCTGCTCCTTCGCCACCGACATGCGCTTCATGTTCCAGTACTCGGAGGTGGCCGTGCAGCACGAGGGGGTGTACGTCTCCAACAAGACCTTCACCGTGGACGACGTGGACCACGTCATGGAGGTTGGTGGAAGGAGGGCGGAGGGCGGCAGAGAGGAGGAGGAGGAGGAGGAGGCGGAGGAGGAGGAGGAGAGGAGGAGGAGGAGGAGGAGGAGGAGGAGGAGGAGGAGGAGGAGGAGGAGGCGGGCAGCGGAGGGCCCCCCTCCTCCCCCCTCCCTTCGCCTCCCACCCTCCTCCCTTCCCTCTCTGGTGCCACTCAGGCGACGGTTCGATTCCAGCAGGTCTCCCTGCTGGAGGGCATTGCGCACGCCGGCCGCTGCACTGCTCAGAGTCAGAGGCAGAGAGGGCGTGGAGCTCAAGAGAAACTCCTCCTCCTCCTCCTCCTCCTCCTCCTCCTCCTCCTCCTCCTCCTCCTCCTCCTCCTCCTCCCTCCTCCTCCTCTCCTCCTCCTCTCCTCCGCCCTCCTCCTCCTTCTCCTCCTCCTCCTCCCCCCCTCCTCCTCCTCCTCCTCCTCCTCCTCCTCCTCCTCCTCCTCCTCCTCCCTCCTCCTCCTCCTCCTCCTCCTCGCCCTCTCTGCCGCCCTCCGCCCTCCCGCTCACCCCCACCACCCTGCCCCACCCTGGCCCCCCGCGCGTGGGAGCGCACGCGGGGGAGGACTGAAGCTGGCTGGGCGGCCGGTGTGGCCAGTCACCGGTCTGAGCCAGCAGAGGGGAAGGGGGTTGATGATTAGGCGGGGGCCATGATATTTCCCCAGATCTCATGGCGCTTCTTCTTGTTTCACTTAGTCCCTGGCCCCCACGCTGGGCCGCGCACATGCCGCCTGTCATGATTTGCACCCCCCCCTCTTGGACACCCCCCTCTTGGCCGCTCCCGAGTGTACTCGGATGCCGCCCGCTTCCCCCTCTGGGCCGCCATGTCTGACTTGAACGTTGGATGCCGATGTTGCCCCCTTCCCCTTGCACATGTCATGTTCATCCTCGTCGTCCTTCTCCCCTAGGCTGATGTCCTGGGCGCCCGTCCGACGCAGGCCACGCTACCGAAGTTCTGGGCACATTCTCACGACACGCATAGAAGCATCAAGTTGCATTCGATCGTCATGTCGATTCATCCTCCCCGGGCTGTCAGTAGGATCCGCAAACGCTGAACCCAAAAGTGTTGGGGCGCATGTGTCACGTACGCCAGCTGAGCCGCCCTCAGTTTGTCTCCGCCGCTTTCCGCTGGCCTCCCGCTGCCTTCCGCCAGGGAAGAGGAGACAACTCCGTCGGTTCGACCCTCGATGGCGAGGCCCCGTGATGGAACGCGCCAAATGTTGAGGCTGTGCGTGTTGTCCTGTACAGGTCGCCGGCTGGGGCGAGACCCCGTCCGGCCTCAAGTATTGGGTCATCCGCAACAGCTGGGGCACCTTCTGGGGCGACGCCGGCTGGCTGAAGCTGCTCCGTGGGGCCAACGACAGCTTGGTGGAGGCTCCCGGGGAGGAGGGGGAGTAAGAGGAGGACGAGCAGCAGGAGGAAGAGGAGGAGCAGGAGGAGGAGCAATGAGAAGCAAAAGAAGGAGAGGCGGATGAGAAGGTGAGGATGAGTAGGACAGGAAGAAGAAGAGGAAGGGGATAGGGGGCAAAGGTGAGGAGGACGAGGAGGAGGAGTAGGAGGACGATGACGACGATGATAAAGTACAGGAGGAATGGCAAGTAGAAGAGAGGAGGGGGTGGAGGAAGAGAGGGTAGGAGGAGGAGGAGGAGGAGGAGGAGGAGGAGGAGGCGGAGGAGGAGGGGAGAAGAAGAAGGCGAAGAGAGGAGGAGGAGGAGGAGGAGGAGGAGGACGAGAATGAGGCGGACGACGACGAGGAGAAGAAGGAGGATAGGCGCGGGGAGGAGAGTGAGGAGGACGAAGGAGACGAGGAGTGGGAAGTGAAGGATGATGATGATGAGGAGGAGGAGGAGGAGGAATAAGACGAAGACGAAGAAGACGAAGAAAAGGATGACGAGAAGGAGGAGAAGGACGGAGAGGAGAGAAGAAGGAAGAGGAGAGGGAAGAGGTGGAGTGGCGCAGGGGGAGGGGGAGGGGGAAGGGGAGGGGGGCGGGGATGAGGAGAAGCAGGAGGAGGGGGTCGAGGTGGAGAGGACAGGGGGAGGCGAAGGAGGAGGAGGAGGAGGGAAGAGGAGAAGGAGTAGGCGCAGCAGCAGGAGGAAGAAAGAGCAGGAGGGTGAAGGCGTCGTGCGACTGGGCGGTGCCGACGTGGGACGAGCTGGACGACGAGCTCGATGGCAAGGTCCAGTGTGCCCACGATTCCCCGCAGCCGACGATCGCGGTGCCGATTTGTGAGATCCTCCCGGCGCGATCCATCGTGCCGCCTTCCACCTCGTTTCCCCTCTTCCTTAATGCCATTTCCTCAATAATGATACCAGAGAAAAACCAACCATTAAATTTTTAGAGCTATAGGGATATGGGGCCATAAGGCTATAAGACTATGGGGCTATAGGGCTACGGGGCTATAGGGCTTTAAGGCTATAAGGCTATAGCGCTATTAGGGCTATTGGGCCATTAGGCTATAGGGCTAAGAGGCGTTTTAGGCTATAGGGCAAAAGGGTAAGAGGACTATGGGGCTAAAGGGCCATAGAGCTATACGGCTATAGGGCTATAAGGCTATAGGGCTTTAGGGCTATAGGGCTACCGGGCATCCGGCCCCCGGGCACATGGGCGTGCCGCCGAAATCGGCGCCACATCTAACCTAACCATATAAATCCGCTTGGACCCCTACAGAGGTAAGCTCTGATTGGGGAATAACTCCTCCCTGCTGCACCCTGAGACGCGTCGGCACGGCGGGCCGGGCGTTTCGCTTGAGACTTCCCCACGACGTATGATCCGTGAGCTAAGATCTGCACCAGTTTCACGGGTGGAGGGCGGGTGGTTTTCAAAATGTGGTTCTCGCCTTGGCGTTGCGCACATTCGTCTTAAGAGTTGGAAAGAGTTTCACGGCTGGTGCAGGTCGTTTTCAAAATGTTGTTCTCGCTTTAGCGTCGCGCACATGGTGTAAATGTTCGCGAGAGCTTCACGGACGGCTTGAGTCGTTTTCGACATGTTGCTATCGCCTCAGCGTCGCGCACATACGTTTCAAAAATTCGTTGAAGCTTCATGGATGCAGGGTAGCTCTTGCTCCAAAAGTGACTGTCGCCTTAGCGCCGCGCACATTCGGTGTCACAGTGTGCAAGAGCTGCACGGATGGAGGACGGGTCGTTTTCAAAATGTGGTCCTCGTTTGGGCGCCGCGCACATTCGGTGTAAAAGTCTGCAGGAGATTCACGGACGGAGGGCGGGCCGTGTTAAAAATGTCGTTCTCGCCTTAGCGTTGCGCACATTCGTTTGAAATGTGCACAACTGGCTAGCGGGTTCTTATGATTGTCGGGCGTCCCTGGACTAGGGCTCCGGCACTGTTTAGGACTGCCAGGAAGCGCCGAAGTCCAAGGAACGGCGTTCTGGCTCGATTCAGGCTCGTCATGACGCAACGGCAAAGTTGATTTGTGGCGTTGAAGTCCACGGAGTGGTGTTTTGGCACGTCTGGGGATTTTCAGACGGTTGTCTTCCAACGGGGCACTTCCAGCAGTACAAACATATTATTGTAGGGGTCGATGTAGAGGGAACTTGGAGGGAGGTTGTATTCGAACATCGTTGATGCATCTTGGATTTACCCTGGTCCTCTCCTCCTCCTCCTCCTCCTCGTCCACCTCCTCCCCAGCATCAGCATCATCATCATCATCATCATCATCATCATCATCATCATCATCCTCATCATCATCATCATCATCATCATCATCATCATCATCCCCTTTCTCCTTCACATCATCAGCAGCATGAGCATCCTCTTTCCCATTATCCGTCTCCTCTTCCTCCGTTTCGTTCCCTTCCTTCCCCCCCTCCGGCCCTCCACCGCGTGGCACTGTTTGGCCCAAGCCATGTCGGCTCAGGCAGACGGGACTCGTGGCCCGCTCGCCCTCTGTACTCGCCCTGCGGCCGGAAGCGGTACTGTTGCAGGTCCCTGCGGCCACGCAGGGTGTCGTTGCTGCTGCCCTGGGGGCAGCCCCGGGGGAGGGGAAGGGGCGGGGGAGGTGGGGGGGGGAGATGGAGGGGGAGGGGGAGGGGAGTGGGGGAGGGGGAGGAGCTACATTGCAAACATGGCTCCACGCTCGACGGGTAGAAGGGCCTCGCCCTCGGCGACACTCGGAGCGGGCCAGGTGGTACAACCAGGCATGTTGTTGTTGCTGCTGCTGCTGCTGCTGCTGCGGCTGCTGCGGCAGTGTCAGCAGTGTCGGCAGTGTCGGCAGCCATGCGCACAGCATTCGACGCCAGCTTGGAGGACGTCAAGTTGGGCGAGATGGTGAGGGCCTCGCTGGAAGAGGACGGCTGCAAGAGGGCGCGCGCCCCAGCATCGAGAGACTCGTCACGGCGGGGTGTTCTAGTCGGAGGCTTGGCCCCGCTGGTGAGGAAACGGCGCTGCGTGACGTGGGGCATCAGGGCAAGCTGGCGTGCGAAGCGACGTCGCGCCTTTCCTCAAGAGCGGGCGCCAGGTAGGTGCAGCACCAGGGGGGCGCAAGCAGCGCGGTGGCCTGAAGCACCACAGCAACCCTCACCCGTCCAGCAGGCCAGGCCGAAGGAGGCCTCAGGACCGAGTCGCCCCACAGGCTGAAGTGAGCCAATGCACAGGTGATGTAGGCGAACGCTGGCAAGTCGTGTACCGTCGCTGGGGCAAGCACATTTGAGTTTGAGAACAAGCAGGTCATGGAGGTCGCACAATCAGACAATCGGGGGAAGTTGGACAGGAAATCACCGTGCAGGAGCCGCTCAGGGCCAATGCGCAGACGCTGGAGAAGCGAATGGCCTGCTACGGCTACGGTCGGGCGCAGCGCAAAGTTTCTAGACGACCTCGCAAAGCTTGTCAACTGGCTCGGCCTCAAGCAGAGCGCGCCAGAGGATAACACGGCGGACACGTAGTGCTCCCATTTGCATGTCAGGAGGCGCTAGAAATGAAAATGAGGACGCAGAAGCAGCGCCTGAACAGCTACGATGTGGTGACGACGGGCGGCTTCACGACGACAGCGGCAGCTGAATGCCGTTGACTCCACATCGGATCCTCTCGAGAAGATGTGAATCCTTGACGTAGTCTTGGCACAGCGCTGCAGAAAAGCAAGAAGCTCGCCGTGAATGTTCAAGATGTGAGCTCTCGCCTTGGAGTCACCTCCAATTGCACGAATACTCTCGTGCAGTAGCAGGCACAGCGGCAGGCCAATGTGGACCCCATTCCCGCGAAGTGGGCCTGCAGTAACTGCTGCCGTGGCGAGCACCCCTGCGGCAAAAGCAGGACCAAACAATGGTCGGTGGGTCTCGAGACGAGGCCAGGGGGCTCATGTCTCTCAGCCCTCTGATGCGTTGAGACGCCCTGCCGGCGTCTGGTAGTCTATGTGTTCACGCTTGCCAAAATAGTGAGCCGCAGAAGATGCAGCATTCATGTTGTAACCTTCCAGGGACTCAGCACAGTATTCGGTCGCTGTGTTGGGGCGTGCCTGGTCATTGGACTTGGTCGTCTCTGAGAGGCTGGAGTTCTTGCCCAGAAGCTTGCTCCCGTCAATCATTTCGTCGGGATTCTGGAGGATGGGCGTTGCCCCTCAGG